CCAAACCTAGGATAGATCTCTTGCCAAAACTGTTAATGTCATTTCTAAAGTTGATTCAGAACAAAATTCTGAAACAGATTCCATTCTTGCCATCAATCCAGTAAATAACTGGAAAAACTCTTCCAAACTCTATTACAATAGAGCCACTGCTCCTGATCTCATTCTTGAGGATAGACATGATTTTATCCTAAGTTTTAATTCTAATGATATTTATATTTGGAATATCGATGGATTATCTGAATATAATATCATTGACAAACTTCAAAACATGTCTGTTGTCGCTATGGGATATTTTACCAATCAAAATATGCCTGAAGACACAATTGTTTATATTCTAGTTGCAGGTTTTACTGGCCAACTCAAAGGATGATGGAATAATTATCTCACTGAGGCTGATAGAAATAATATCCTCTCTGCAGTAAAAATTGACAATAAAGGTAAAACCATTGTCAACGATAATGAACACCTCCCTGATGCTGTATATACCTTGTTATACACCATCTCCCAACACTTTCTTGGTGACCCTTCTTTATGGAGAGAAAGGTCGGGTGAGCTTCTTTCCAACTTTAGGTGTAAATCCTTAGAACATTTTAAGTGGTATAGAGATACCTTTATGTCTAGGGTCTTAACCAGATAAGACTGTAATCAAGCCTATTGGAAAGAAAAATATCTGGATGGGCTTCTAAAATTTTTCAGAGATTTTATTAGGAGTAAACTCCGAAGTAATTCCCCTAGTGGAGAGATTAATTATGACAGTTATGACTATGGTCAACTTATTGTCATTATCATCCATAATGCCATTAAAGTTTGTCAAAAGGATAAACTTCAGAAACAACTTGCCAAAGAGAGAGCCTTGAATAAGAAAGATTTAGGATCTTTCTGCGAGCAATTTGGTCTTTCATCTTGCTCCACCAAAAAGAAGAAACAGGCTCCTAAGAAAGAGGCTGCAGAAACCTACAAGAAGCCTTACAAGAAGAAGTACAATAGGAAACCTCCTTCCAAGAAACAAGGAGAAAGTGTATCTCCACCAATATTCCCAAAAAACCCAGAACAGGTGTAACCTGTTATAACTGTGGTAAATCCGGCCATATCAGTAAGTACTGTAGGTTGAAAAAGAAAATTAGCAGTCTTAATCTTGAGCCTTCTATAGAAGACCAAATTAACAATCTCCTTATGGAATCTTCAGATGATGATTCTGTTAAAGAATCTAATGAAGATGTCAATCAAATCCAAAACGATGATCAAATCTCTTCTTCTGACAGTGATGATACTCCAGAAATTAATGTTTTAACAAAAGAACAAGATCTTCTTTTTGAAGCTATAAGTTCCATTTCTGATCCTCAAGAGAGGAAAGAATTTTTAAATAAATTCAAAGAAGTTTTAGAAACCAAAGAATATTTTACTACAAATAAATTTGACATAACAAACATTTTCAAAAGATTAGAAAAGAATTCTAATATCAAACCAACCACTATTCAGGATCTCCAGATTGAGATTAACAATCTCAAGAAAGAGATTAGGGAGATTAGAGAACAACAACAAATTCATCAAGTTATTCTTTCCCAATTAGATGACGAATCTGATATTGAGAAAGAACAACTTCCTGAAGATAATGATTCTGTAAAGGTTGATTTTGATAATCTTGAAGAAACCTTTATGTGTTTGATCAACAAGGTCAAAATTCAAAAATTTTACATTAATATCAGAATCATTATCGATGATTTTGTTCTTGATACTTTAGTCCTCTTTGATATAGGAGCTGATTCAAACTGTATTTTAGAAGGTTTAATTCCTACAAAGTATTTTTAAAAAATTTCTGAAAAACTTAACACTGCTAGTGGTTCAAAACTCAAAATTAATTATAAGCTTTCTAAAGCTGTGATTGAAAATCAAAGGCTTAAAATTGAAACAAACTTTTTTCTTGTGAAAAATCTGAAAAATGAAGTTATTTTGGGAACACTCTTATTAAAGCCCTCTTCCTATTACAAATTTCGAAAGATGGAATTTTCACTTTTCATTTAGGAAAGCAAATAACTTTCAAATTTTCTAGTAAACCTATTACTAAAAATATCAATTCTATCTAAAATAAAATTAATAAAATTAATTTTCTAAAAGAAGAAGTTTCTTTTGCTAGCATTGAAAAGCAATTATAAAGTCCTTTGCTTCAGAAGAAGATCCAATCCCTTTTAGGAAATATACAAACTTCTATCTGTTCTGACCTGCCTAGCGCATTCTGGAATAGGAAGAAATACATTGTTAGTCTTCCTTATGAGTCAGGTTTCAAAGATAGCCAAATACCTACCAAGGCTAGGCCAATTCAAATGAATGAAGAGCTCATCCATTATTGCCAGAAAGAGATTAAAGATCTCTTAGACAAGAACCTTATCAGAAAAAGTAAGAGCCTTGGTCTTGCTCTGCTTTCTATGCCAATAAACCAGCAAAAATTGAGAGAGGAATTCCTAGATTAGTTATCAAATACAAACCCTTCAATTAAGATCTTCAATGGATTAGACATCCTATACCCAACAAGAAAGATCTTCTTAACAGATTAAATTCTGCTAAGATTTTTTCAAAATTTGATATGAAATCTGGATTCTGGCAAATTCAAATCTGTGAAAGTGATAGGTACAAAACTGCCTTCACCGTCCCCTTCGGGCATTACGAATGGAATGTTATGCCTTTCGGTTTAAAAAATGCCCCTTCAAAATTCCAAAAAATTATGAATGACATCTTCAATCCTTATTCAAAATTTATCATTGTTTACATTGATGATGTTTTGATATTTTCTCATTTCATTGATCAACATTTCAAACACATAAATATTTTTATCAACATTATCAAGCACAACGGACTTGCTGTTTCCAAATCCAAAATTAATCTATTTCAAACCAATATTAGATTCTTTGGTCATAATATTCACCAGGGAACCATTATTCTTATCAGTAGATCTATTGAATTTGCTGATAAATTTCCTGATAGAATCCTAAACAGAACCCAACTCCAAAGGTTTTTAGGATGTCTCAATTATGTAGGTGATTTCATTCCACACCTCAACAATATTATTAAGCCTTTACATGATAGGCTTAAGAAGAATCCTCCTTCTTGAATTGATGTTCACACTAATGTCGTCAAAGAAATTAAAAATAGTTAGGAAGATAAATTGTCTCTATTTTCTTATTCATCAAGCTTTCAAAATTGTTGAAACTGATGCCTCTGATATTGGTTATGGTGGCATTCTCAAACAAAGAATTGAGTCGTATGAGCATATCATTGCATATACTTCAAAACATTAGAATTCTGCACAACAGAATTATTCAACTGTTAAAAAAGAAGTTTTAACAATTGTTTTATGCGTTTCAAAATTTCAATCTAATTTACTAAATCAAAAATTTCTTATTCGAGTAAACTGTAAGTCTGCTAAAGAAATTTTACAAAAAGATGTTAAAAATCTTGCCTCAAAGCAGATCTTTGCAAGATGACAAGCAATTTTGAGTGTTTTTGATTTTGATATAGAATATCTCAAAGGCACCTCCAATTCTCTTCCTGATTACCTTACCCGTGAATATTTACAGGATAAGTGAAAAAATGCCTAGAAAGGCAACTACCCCTTCCAGGAGAGGAACATCCAGAGGCGGAAGAGTTAGGCTTGCCCTGACTCTTAACAAATCAAAATCACAAGCTGCTTTGGCAGGTTCAAAATCTACCTCTACTGGGTCATCCACCCCCATTGAGTCATCGACTCAAAAAGCAATCCAAATTGTTGAGTCATCGACACAGCAATCTGGAGCTCCAAAAGAATCTTCTAAAAAGACTGATTCTCCTACAAAAACCACCAAACAAACTAAAGCAGATTATGCTTTCCCAATCAGCACACTCTTAGCTGTCCAATAAGGAAGCCTGAGTAGCCTACCAAAAAAATCATGGGCTGACATTGCCTCTAAAGAAGACATGGAAATAGATTTAGCAAGCCTAACCACTATACCGCTATTCTAGTTTCTTATATTTTAATTTTACAACTTTTTATTTCTGCACTTTACATTCTGCATTTCATTTAATAGTCCTGCTATTACCTACTTGCCTTTCAGTCTATTTTATTTTTCCTTGATCCACTTCGGGTTATCTATATATATATAAAGTTACAAAACCCGGGCCGTTACAAAAAGCAGTTTCCCAAAATCTATTATTGCGCGTAGACACTTTCAATAGCAAGAGTTGCTATGCACATGTGTTCTGTGTGAATTTGCCTTGCACAGAGCTACTTTCAACAGCTAGAGTGGTTACGTGCAACTGTGTGTTGATACTTTCATTGCCCAGAGTTGTTACGTGCAAGTCTGTTATGTGTTTTAACCTTGCGCATAGCTACTTTCAGCACCAAGAGTTGCTACGCGGCTTTCTGTGTAAATTAGCCTTGGGGGTTGATACTCTCGCTAGGTAAAGTGTTTACGTGCAAGTCCTTTCATGAATTTTGTTGCTGGAGTGATAACTTTCAGCAGTTAGAGTTGTTACGCTATTGATCTTCATGGATTTTCTTCTTCAAAGTGTTAACTCTATGCACCCAAAGTTGCTACACCCGACACATATCACTTGATTCTTGATCATTTAAGCTCAATTCTACGACTCTCTTTTATTTTCTCTTCTCTAATCCTTATTTTCAAGACTCTTAACTTAGAATCTCCTGCAACACTAACAAAATTACATCAGAATTCTATTAAATTCACACAATTTGAACATTTATATATTTTTGTGCAATTTTTACTTTCTAAATTACATTTTCTATAAAAAACAGCCTAGAAAACTACATAAAACCTAGTAAAATCTGCATTCATCAACCCCTTCCCGATCCTAGGTAAGATGACAACATTGCCTGTATCTGTATGCGTTTTTTTAAAAGTCTTTTCAGTTTTTTGTTTTGGTTGGAACACAGGAAACCAGACCAGACTAGATCATCTTTTGCTGTTTCATTAATATTGGTAATTTTTCCTTTTGTTCAATGTTGGTAGTTGCGTGGAAGAGTTGGGCGAGCGGATAAGGAAGCACATGCATACTTATTTTACCCTGATAAAAGCATGCTTTCTGATCATGCATTGGTATATTTCTGATCAATCTTTACCTTTTATTTATGAAATTATATTGCATGAAATAATACTTGCTTCATCAGATATGACAAATGACTGTCATATAACTTAGTGTATTTCATACCACTACTGTATTATTCCTAGACTTAAATTGATTCTTTTATTTGAAATATAGAATATTAGTTGCTAAATTATTGCCCAAAACTAACGTTCTCCTGAGTGATCTCCCATAGGAGAGGCTTGCTGCTATTGAAGAATGCCGTGAACTAGGTCAAGGCTTCCAACTAGCTGAGAAAGACATGGGTATAAGAGGTTTTGGTGCAATTTTTGGTGAACAACAATCAGGAGATGTTGGAAATGTTGGTGTTGATCTTTTCTTTGAGATGCTCTTTGAGAGTTTGTCAAAGGTAAACTTCAATTTGCAGCCAGTTTGTTCCTATGTGCCATTGGTTCTAGTCTCCAAGTCAAATAGAAGTATTCTTTTGTTTAATTTGCACGCATGTATATTGGCTTGAAAGTGAAATTTTGCATTCCTAGCATTTTGCTCAATAATTTTTTATCATCTGACTGTTAGTTTTGGGCTTATCCTATCCTATTCTTTTTGACTTCCAGGTTGAAGATCACCGTGTTGTTTCAGTTCCTTATCACTCAGTCCAGGTATATTCTTAGTTAAAAAAATGTACTGCAAAGGATTTAAGACATTAGTATAGCTAATGCTTGATACATGCTTATCTGATTGTAAACAGGGTTCAACAAATCAAATCTGACACTGTTTTTCTCCTGCTTGAGGTTAACTAGGAAAATATAAAATGCTGAAATTATATTGCCGTTAAAGATTTTACTTGAAAACCCAAAAATATGGTGTTCTAAGTCACATTTATGCCTTACTTTCGGGTTGAAAAGATGGTATTAGGTCATCTGTCGCAATTCTTCTATGAATATAATGTCATACATGCCAATAGTAATTACTCAATAATTGATCTCTGAGGATGGATGATTATACTGAACTGATTTTGTCATTTAGAATCTGTGCACTGTAAGCTAAACTAGTCGACAAATGATATTGAATGATCCATATTCAGGGATGTATCATTTATAACATTAGTGCCTAACTGAGCAAATCTTGTTTTATTGTCTTTGTATAACTCTTTATTATTTGTTATGGAAGGACTTTTTTTATACTTGAACAAAATTTTGGATGAATTAGTACAAATTCCCCTAAATCAAATAAGGGTTGTTGATGGTGTGACCATGGGCACACAATAAAAAGTCAAAATTAAAATGTTTTTGTTGTAAAAGAAAATATTTATTATATTGAAATACATCAGTCATTTAATGCTTACTTTTTAAAGCATTTAATAGAGTACATTTAATGCTTTTACACCATGTGCTCATGGGCGCAATAGAAAATTCCATCAAATACATAATATTCTGCACTAAGTATACACTAGATTCATCTAAACGAAATATAGAACATAATTAAATTAACAGTAATTTCTAAATACAAACACTAGCCTACACCAATATAGTCCTGAGAATATTACTGCTGGTTTGAAATAATGTTCTCATATGTATGTATGTATGTATTTTTTTTTTTATGTAAAATCTGTACATAGCAACTGTATAATTTGCATATAATGGAGATCTCATGTTTGATGCATTTTCTACTTTATTATTATTTAGGTTGACATAAACATCAATCCTCATCTCCCGTCTGACTACATTAATTATCTGGAGAACCCTATGGAAATTATAAATGAAGCCGAGAGAGTTGCTGAAAAAGACATCTGGAGTCTGATGCAATTTACAGAGAATTTACGCCGCCAATATGGCAAAGAGCCTCGCTCCATGGAGATTTTACTAAAAAAGCTTTACTTGAGGAGGATGGCAGCTGATTTAGGGATAACCAGAATTTACTCTTCAGGGAAGATGATCTTTATGAAAACAAACATGAGTAAGAAGGTATTCAGGATGATGATAGATTCCATGACATCAGAATTACATAGAAATTCATTGGTTCTTGAGGGGGACCAGATTAAGGTATTACATAGAAATCCTTTAGATCTGAATTCTTTAATTTGGTGATCTCTTTTGGAATTTTCCTTTCTATTTTGTTCAGTTTCCCCCTCATTTTAGAAGTTTTCTTGTCTTCAACACGTTCCCACATGAAATATTTAGTAGTATGTAGTTAATTTGGTCATTTTATTGATAGATGTACTTGAAGTTGAATGCGAGCAATGTTTTTCATATATTTCTAAGTAATTTGTACAATATTTATATACAAAGGAGACAATGCCAATCCGTAACGTTTGGGAATTTGGATTAATCTATTTAAAGTAACTAAATTACAAACCAAATAATAGGTAACTATAAAGCTAATAATATCTCAACAAATCAGAATAGTTTCTCAACACTCCCCCTCAAGGTGGATTATATATATTCAACTTGTTACATATGTACATTATCCTAGGGCCATGTAAAGACTCAGTAAAAATATCTCCCAACTGATCTTTAGAGCAAACAAAGGAAGTCTTGATGATGCTAGAGAGAATATTTTCCCTGATGAAATGACAATCCACCTTGATATGTTTTGTTTTCTCTCGTGCAACACTGGATTGGACGAGAGATATAAAGCTAATTGGTTATCACACATAAGCTCTATAGCACCAACCTCATAAAACTACAACTTCTAAAGTAAACGTTTCAGCCATAGTAGCTCACATGTAGTGTGAGCCATGGCATGATACTCAGCCTCTGTATTTGACCTGAAAATAACAGTTTGCTTTTTACCTTTCCATGAGATAAACGCAATAGCCTAAGGTGGACCGCTTGTCTCCTACATTTCCTGCTCAATTTGCATGTATCCAACAATATTAGTGTGCTCTTAACAAGTCCCTTTCCAAGTGATCTCTTAATATATTTAAGAATCCGAACAGCATGCCAATGACTCTCACAGAGAGAGTTAAGGAATTGACTTACAACATTGACAAGAAAAAATATTATTAGGTTGAGTCATGGTGAGACAATTTAATTTTTCCACTAGTCTTCGATATCATCCAAGATCAAGATAAGGCTTCCCTTGATTGGGTAGAAGTTTCATGATGGGATCCATGGGGTGTCAACTGGTTTGCAATCTAGAAGATCTGTCTCCTCTGAGAGTCCAAGATTTCAAAGGTATACTTCTTTTGAGAAAGAGAAATACCTAACTTTGATTACCTCAATCTCAAGGACGTAAAGCAAAAGACCTAGATCTTAGTCTAAAACTGATGGAACAAGTGTTGTTTTAGAGCCTTGATGCATTTCTGATCATCATATATAATCACAATATCATCTACATAAACCACAAGATAGATATATTGTTGTGATGATGAACACTGAAAGAAAATAGAGTGGTCTTCCTTGCAGCAGATCATCTTAAACTGTTGTATAACTTTGCTAAACCGACCAAATCAAGTGCTAGGTGATTGTTTAAGGCCATGTAAGGACTTATGCAATTTACACACAAGGTCTAACTCCCCCTAAGCCACAAATCCAAAGGGTTGTTCCATATAGATCTCCTAAGCTAACTCATAGGAGGAGGACTACTCTATCCCTTATAAGAAGTATTATGACTCTAATCTTAGCCAATGTGGGACATCTTAACACTTCCTCCACATGTCCAGGACTAAACATCTGTACAGTGGCCCAACAAGACTGGCCATCTATGGGCAGCCCAATAGGACTAGACATCTATGGACAACCCAACATTCAAACTGGATAGGCTCTAATACTATGTTAAAAAATTTGGGCCTAACTTACTCTCAAAAGCTAGCTCATAAGAGGAGGACTACCCTAACCTTTATAAAAAGTATTATGGTTCTAGTCTTAGTCAATGTGAGACATCTTAACAGGAAGAAAAAGTACCTTTGTAATCCACCTGTTCATTAGGACCCATTTTAACCTTGAAGACCCACCGACAACCAACAATAGATTTTCCTGGGAGGGTGGAACAAGCACCCAAGTATGATTTGAGTCCAAGGCTGACATTTCATCAATCATCGTCTGATGCCATCTAGTGTGAGATAAAGTCTCCTGTACTGTCGAAGGAATAAAAATAGAGTAAATAGCAGAGATAGAGGCATAAAAAGTAGAAGACAATCGTCTACCTTTATGGACAACTATGGGCAAATTGGCACAGGCAGGTGGATCCGGAGCAAGAGAAGCGATTGGAGCAGGAGCTGAATCACCAGTTTCAGTTGCAGGAGTTGAATCATAGAGCTCAAGTGTAGGGACTGTTGCAGGGTGTGGTTGACACTCATAAGTAGTCCCAAACCGTTGTATATCAAGATCAAGTTCACCAAGATCAGATGCTGATGGGAAGGAGGAAGTAGGAGGCAAAATGAGGAACAAGTAATACCTGAAGACAAAGATGAAGTCAATTGAAGAAGTGTGAAGCATGGACTATCTTCAAAAAAATTGATATCTACTGAAGTGTAAAACTGGTGTGTGGTGGGAGAATAACAGTGGTAACTTTTTTGGACACGAGAGTAGACTAGGAAGACACATTTGATGGCATGAGTAGACATCTTATCACGACCTAGAGAAAAATTATGGACAAAACAAACAGGGATAGAAAGATGTTTTGATCCATAAAGTTCCATTTTGTTAAGAAATGCTTATGGATAGAATCACAACTTTCTTTTGGTCTGAAATTAATGCGTAAGGACATAATTTATTTTTACTACCTTTTCCTACTTTGTTTTAGCTTTAAGGATTCGTGTTGTAAAATATTCTGATTTCCCTCTAATTTCTCTCTATCCTTTTTTGTATTTAATTTGTTACTTATTTCTGTAATTAGCATAATTGGGTATGATTGTCACCCATGATCTTAACATAGAATTAGTTATCATAGCATATAAATAGGCACCACTGTACGTTGTAAAAATAATCAGAAAATAATCATTCAAATATATTGTTGGGTACTTTTTTCAAGTATTCATTTAGAAGCAGGGACAATGGTCTGTCTAGTTTTCTTTTTGTGCTGTCTCAGATGTAAATGCATTGGGATTTGAGAGCAATGCATTGCCGTAAAAAGTGAGGTTACCATTTATCTATATCAATCATAAGTCCAGTATTTTATGTAAAATGCAGGCTGAACTTCTACTAGTTATTTGTATAAATGCAACTAGTTAATGTTTCTTTTTCCTAATGATTTCCCTCTGCAGGCTGAACTTCTATTAGAGCTACCAAAAGAACAACTTCTTAATTGGATCTTTCAATGCTTGGCTGAACTTCATGCTTTACTACCCACCTTCATAAAATACTAGGTTCTTAACCTGGTTAATTCCTGCCAATGTGTAAGTTGGAAACTTGACTTACTGCTTACATCACAAATACATCAATTTTGGCGGATTTACCATTGGAGTTGAAATGCGGGAACTAACCATGGCGGATGCAAAACAAGATTGTTTTGCATGACTGACTTGGCACTACAGGACCTCAGAACAAATCAGCACTATCAATTGATACTGGTGACAGTGCACTTCTTATCAGAGGTTGGTTACCAGCACCTCGGAGTTGCGGTTGTCCAAATTGTGTTCCTGAATTGCATCCCCATATGCAGGAGAAGAGCATGTATTGTGATTTGTGATATATCAGAAGGCAACTGCTAGTGACCTGATCAGCTTCTATTTTTGCACTCACAAAACAACTTCACTTTCAAAAGCTACATAGGATGACCTATACTCATCCAGTAAACCTTTAACCAAAACATCAAGATTTCACCTTTTGTATGGGTGAAGGACTAAAGCATTCTCACGCTAGCTAGTACATTCTAAGAAAACTAGAAATCAGCCTGTTGAATGATGCATTTTTGTTGCAGATAATTGAGAAATATACTGTTGTTTGTAGTTGTCATGTGATTTGTTTTATTTCCTCATAGATACTTGTATTCTTCATAGAAAGAAATTCTTGTAACCACGTGTTTTACCAATTGTAATGAAAATCATTTGACCAAGATTTCAAGCTTCATGACAATACGTATTGATGTGTAGCATCGTTAATGCATATTGAGCTCAGCCCCCATAGCTTAGACTATTATTATCAGTTCAATACGATTTTTTCTGGGCAAAAAAAATAAAAATAAAAATTTTATTTTTTTGCTTTAAGCTTATAAATCATTCTTGCAATTTTTTTCTGCATTATTTTCCTGCAAATAAATTTGGTTAACCCTTGTATAAAACCGGTCAATAAAATTATACCCTTTAAAATAATGTGCAAAATTAAGATGTTCTTTTACCTTTTTTTGTTTTAGTTGTGTCTGGATGTTCAATTACCTTCTAAAATGTCAAGTAACACCATGGATATCTTTGAGACAGTAGAACTTGTTTCTAGTGAAATATGAGTATCCCAAATACAAGGCTAGATATTTATTTCGTATATTTATATCAACGTGTGTTAACGATAATTGACAGAATTAGAATATAAGAACGGTAAAGCTAAAATAAAATGAAAAATCTGGATTTTTCTTTCAAGTCAAATGTGGAAAGACGTAATATTAAAGTATTAAACAATAAATCATTAACAAAAACAAGATTGAATAAAATAAAAATCCAATCATCAACATAAAGAGGTCTTAACTACCTGTTATAGTTTATTAATCTTGCTATAAGTGATAAGGCCCTACTTGTCACGCAACTTGCCCATCCAACCATAAAGAAATGAAACTCAGATAACTTTTGAGTCTGAACACACACTGACGAGGAACACGTTACACGTAGTATGAGAACCAATGGAAGAAAAAACAAATGCATTTTCTTGTGTCAGCAAACTAACTGCCTTTATTTTCTCTCTCTTTCTTTCTTTCACGATCCACCTATCAGCTTAGGCGAAAGATGTTTTCTATAAACAATTTTTATATACAAAGATCACTATAATTAGTATTAATATTCACTTTTTATTTTTTATTTTATTTTATACTTTCTATCATTTATCATTTCTTTTTTGTTTTTATCTTTCTCTTTATATAAAGAAGCGTCAACAAACTTTTTTTCAATTACAAATTACCTACAAAACCTTTTAAGTCAGTATTCGTTGATAGGGTATTGAAAAATTACCTTGGTTAATTAACTGATATGTACAAATTTTATTTTTATCTATCTTTATAAATATTCATAAAATTTGATAAAATCTACTCTATCTAATACACACAAAGAAAAAAAGTAAATACAAAATTTTCAAATAAACTTTTTGAATAAATTCTTAAATTAATTTTTAAAATTATACAAATCAGACATTTTAATTTTTTTAAATATTAATTTTCAACTTTATAAAATCAAATTTGTTTCAATTTTTTAATTTAAAGACAAAAAAATTACAAAATTAAAATTTATAAATAAAATAATATCTCAAGAATTAAAATGTCTAATCTATCAGTCTACTATCTTAAAAGTTTACTAAAAAATTACCTTGATAAAGTTTCAGGATATATATATATATATATATATATATTAATTTGCTGATCCAAGGGTAGAACAGAAGGGGGAGTGGGGACTGTGTAGTAATGGTCACATTTGTGTTAAGGTGCCACTACCCAATTGGCTCAAATTTCAAATTCAATTACCTGTGAAAGTGAAACCATTCTTCTGGGAGTTATACTAACCCTTTGCTTCTTTTGCTTCGATTCCGTTCCATTAGCCATGAGTTTTCAAGATATCCAAGGTGGGCCCAACCCTCCCTCTCGCCGAAACCAGTCACCGTCTCAGGCCGTCGCTGCCGGAATTTTCCAGATCAACACCGCCGTCGCTACTTTCCGGCGACTCGTCGATGCCGTTGGAACCGTCAAAGACACTCCCGAACACCGTCAGAAGCTGTACCTTCACCTTACTATTTCTCTCTCTCTCTCTTTCTGATTTCTTTTATTTTATTTTTTTTTATTTGTGTCTGTGTTTTCACTATGCTGTGTTTGGTAGGCACAATACGAGGCAGAGGATATTGCAGCTGGTGAAGGATACTTCTTCTAAGCTCAAATCCTTGACTGAATCTGATCGTGATGCTAATGCCAATGTATGCTTTTACTTCGTCTATATTCATTTCATTAATTCTCTTTTCTTTGATGCTTCATGTGTGACTTTGACTTTTGATTGCCCACAATTGATCATATTTATAACACACCCTAGAAAAGAGGGGGGATGGCTTCTAGTTCGTATTTGGAATTTTTTTCAAAAAATAAAGTGTTGTAGGAAGGGAGACTAGTTAATAATAGCATGTCGTGTAAGAAAAGTCAATTGATCGTACCCTTGCCATGTTTTCTGGTTTTGCATCTGACTTTTGGTCCTGTATTTGGTTGGTGCTGCATTTTTTATGTTTCTTTTATTATGCTCGAAAACTATGAATGGTGGCTATAAAAAAGGAAAAAAAGAAAAATGTTTGGACTTTGGATATTAGTTAACCCTCCGTGTTCTCCTTTTTCCAACCCAGGCTAGTAAGAAAATTGAAGATGCTAAACTTGCAAGAGATTTCCAGACCACATTACAAGAGTTCCAAAAAGTACAGCAGCTTGCTTCGGAGCGCGAATCGAGTTACACCCCTGCTGCTCCTTCTTCTCCTTTACCAACAAGGTCAACCATTTCTTTTCATAATAGTAAAACAAATTACTTCTATGCTGTTTCAAAACTTAATTATGCCAACTTTCTTTATCTGATTTGAGCTCTCCTCTATCATTCGTGTGTTTGTAAACAGCTCCGGCCCCGGTGAAGCATCAGTTGGGATAGATGTGGAAAACCAACCTTTCATCAGAGAGCAGAAGAGGTAAGCCTACAACATTTCAGCTATTTCACTGGACTTACTAAATTATATTATGGAAGAGCTTATAGACAGTTTATGGAAATATCCTATGACTTTCATGAGCTTCTTTTAGCTTATTTCAATAAGCTTATTAGTACAACTTAGCAAACTAAGTTGTTTTCATCTTATTTTGGTAAATTTCGTAATCAAATTTATGACATGCTCATGTAGACAAAACATATTGAATAAGTACTTAATTTGACTTATTCAACTCTTGATTGAAGAATAATCTTTTGCAGTCTGATTTGCTTGATCACTGAAATAAAACTGCAGGCAAGAGATACTTCTGTTGGATAATGAAATATCCTTCAACGAGGCCATGATTGAAGAAAGAGAACAGGGAATTAGAGAGGTAGAAGAGCAAATAGGACAAGCAAATGAAATATTCAAGGACCTAGCTGTTCTTGTTCATGATCAGGGTGTTGTTATTGGTAAATAAGAATACCATTCTGTAGAGTGAAAATTTATATAGCTTGCTTGCTTCTTGTTGCCTTGACATTTAGTCATTCTTTTTGTTCACGTTGTATGTGTCATTCTGGCAGACGACATTCAATCAAACATCGATGCTTCTGCTGGTGCAACAACCCAAGGAAAGGTCCAGCTAGCCAAGGCTTCCAAAAGTGTGAAATCCAGAACCTCATGGGTGAGTTGTAAAAATTTATAACACTGAAAAAGCTCAAATAATAGTCAAACACTATCAAGTTTCAGCTTCCCACTCGTAGTGGGGCAAGTTAGCTTCATTTCATAGACAATAAAATATAATGCCGTCAATTTCATGTATGACATTTGGAATTTATTTTTCATATGATCAATTTGTCTTATTTCTTACAAATGGCACTATTTGCACACTTCCCTTGCATGTTAACATCTACACGCCACTCATTGGCTACTTAGAGAAAAATATTCCAAACTTGGAAGAATTCCAGGTGTAGTATTCTACACAACATTATTGTAATTTCTAGTGATGTTACAACCATTGTACAACATTCTGGTAACATATGATTTCTCATATAATATTTCTTACTTTGCAGTGTTGGTGGGTGCTTGTAATTTTTGTGGTTGTGCTGGTCATCCTACTTCTAGTACTCATTCTTTAGTGTGCAAGTGCATACAAGCTGGGCAGATTTTTCTACTCCTTCATTACTTGTCCAAGATTGATTTAAATTGATGAATCTTCTCATATTTCGTTAGTGTTTAATGGTGTGAAGAGTGTTTTGACCAAAAGAAATGTGTTGAGGAGTGTAATGCAACACAGTTTGATATGGTTGACTGCGCATTTGCAGCTGGAAGTTGGAAGAAATGACTGAGGCAAAGCGATTTTAAGTGAACTTGTCTTGTATTTGTAATATAGATTTGCAATATAGGATTTGTAGTTGCTGAAACATGAATTCGCAAGCCATGTACCATTACCAATTTCTTGATGGCAAGTGCATGTGTGCATATTTTATCGCCATGCTGCATTATCGGGGCGATATAATTCTTCCTTTGAATCCTCCTCAGCGTATTTGTTAACATCACATTCAAGTAATGCAAGTTAAAATCCTATATTCGTGATAAGGAGAGTAAATCTCCAGATTAGTTCATGAGATTGTGAGAGCAGATAAATTAATTCTTGAGATTTTGAAATTGGTCCGTTAATCTTTGACTTTATCATGCATTGAGTACTTTATTTTAACTAACAGTTTTTGTCATTATGACTTTAACCATTCATGTTCAGTGACACTTGGAACGACTGATGTACCCAAACGACACTGTCTCACACACCGGTCCTTGACATTGTACTACTCCTTTAAACCCCTAAATCTAAATCTAAATCTAGCTCTAGCAAATTTCTTATCGTTGCCATTGTTGCTGTTGCCTGCGCCCTCCTCATTATTGTCGTCTCTGCCTTCGTTTACTGTTGTCGGAGATGAAAAAGTTGCTCTACCAACAAGAAGATCCTCAAATCTAACAACAGTAGTCATCTCTTTCGTGACACCATTGTTAACTCCTCCAGTGGTGTTGACAAGCTCTCTAACCCACCCGTCGGTGCCACAATGAATCCTTGAAAAATGGACTTGTTAGAGCTTCCGTCGCTAGCTTGACAAGCCTTGAGGCTTTGGAAGAGGAAGAGCTCTACTTCGTGGGTTCCTAGCAAATGCTCTTCGCTTTGCCAAATATAACTTTGTGGGTCATAACAATAGCAAATTAGCACCTTCTTCATACTCATCTTCCTATTTTTCTTCCTTTGATCGCTCTCATTCCATTTCTCTCTTGCTATCAATAAGCATAAGCCCCAAAAAGTTACAACTCAAGTCGTTGAAAAACACAATAACCAACCATTATCCTCGTCTGCCACCAGCCTCTTGATGGAGAGAAAGGAGTGTCAGTCACTACTCGCTTTGGCACTGATGAAAAACCCAAATGGGTCAACCCATTGCACCATCGTGGGAGCAAGCAGAGAGAAAGAAAACCAAGTGAACTCTCCAAACTAGTTACTAAGGTTGTAACTGGAGGGGAAACAGTATCATTTGGGCTATGTAAAGTTAATAAAAAATTTTAGTAGGACTAAAATTCTCAATATTTGACAAAATTGAAGATTAATAAATTCATTTTAAAATCTCATGATCTGATTTATTTTATGTTTACAGTCTTAAAGACTGATCTAATTATTTACTTTGATAAAAAGAAAATAGTACCCTCCTTTAATGTAGTTTCATGCATTTTCTTTCTTATAATTGCTTTTTTCATTAGTATGTTTGAGTATTCAAATAACAAGTGAAGTGTAAGTTAAAATTTTAAAAAAGATAATAATGATAATTTTGATATAATAAAAGGTGCTTGGAACGATAATATGAATTTGAGAAGCTATTGTATACAGTGATAATAACAGATGATATTTATATTTTTTTATAAATAAATCACTAATTTTTATTTATTAATATACAATTAACAATAATAATTATTTTATGCCTGAGAAAATATTCTATATCAATTTAATTTACAAGATATTATAGAAATTAATTTAATAAAATTATATCTGTAGCAATACTATATATATATATATATATATATATATATATATATATATTAGCGTCTAAAAATCTTTTAATATTGAGAAAAAATTACAAAATAAACTTTAAAATATAATTCATTGTAAGAAAAAATTATTTAAATATGGTATAAAATCAGAATAAATATAGAAATATGGTGTATTTTGCAATTTTACCAGAATATACAAGAACAACACCATGGTAGGGAGCTCAAACTGTAGGTTCAAGTGGCACAGGCTTTTCTAAAACTGCTATTGACAATTTTGATCCTAGTCAAGACTATGCAAAAGATGTCACGTCTAATCTTTGTAGTGGACATTTATAAACTCGCTAAGGACGAGATTTGACCACTGTTCATGTTGCCATGCGAGGAAATGAAGTCAAAAAGACCTCTGAAACTCTGTAAACTTACTAATGGCGAGTTTTGACCTTTATCCATCATGCTATGTAGGGTATTATAGTGAGGAAGACCCTATAAATTGCCAATGACGATTTTTCTCTATATATATATGCCCTCCAAACCTATTGCTGCATGCACGAAAGGGGAATTAAAAAATTGAAGAAGTTTTTTGGAGAAGAAGAAGAAAGCTGAGAGAGAAAGTAGGAAACCAGAAAAAGAAAATAAAACAAAAAATAAGAAAAAAAATGATATTTAGAAGCTCAAAATTTTAGAAGAAATAGTTAGAGATTCAATTATTGATTCAAAGAAACATATCTCTAAACAAATTCAGAAATTAAATATAAGTTTTTCTATTTTATTTAATATATTGTTAATGTGTATTTTAATTATAGTTTAAATTTTATTAAATAAAACATAATGTTAGTAATATATAGTAATTGAGTAATTTTTGTGAATAATAGTTAATTCTGGACAAAAGATAATATAATAATAATTTGTGAAATTTTAATTACAATTCAAATTGTTATAGTTATTAAAATAAAAAATATTTTCAATTTATGTTAAAAAAAAGCATATAATAATGTATATTATGTAATTTTTATTTTAGAATATGTTATATTATATTAATTTTAAATATTTTTATATATGATGTAAAGTACATTATATTATAATATAATTTTATTGTAAAATTAGTTATATTAATTTAGTAATAAATTAGTTAGGTTTATTTTGGAATGAGTTAGGTTAATTTTTTATGAATGAATTAATTAGTAATTACTAACTTGCATGTATAAAATATTTTAATAAAATTTAAGAATTAATTTAAAATAATTAATAATAATACGGTTGAATATTTGTATTGAACGTCTACGTTGCCTAATAATTATTTATTGTATTTTAAATAATTATAATTTGAATAGTGTAACAGCCGGACAACTTAAGGAATTTGGAAAGGAATATATTTTAGTTTCAAAATCCTAAAATATATGTCAATGGAAAAGAAACCATTACTCTTGATGATTCTAAGCTTTCTCAAGAAGTTTCATATTCTTAAATTTTGATATTTAAATCTTTAATGGACTTTTTTAATCTTTGTGAACTTGTTTTATATTTTTGTAGACTTTTTATGTGTATGGACTTTTTGTCTTAAGAAATTTGTTTAATTATGAACTTATTTATATTTTTGTGGACTTATTGTGTGTATAAAAATAAAAAAATTAGCTGTTACAAAAACAAAAAAAAAAAAAAAAGAAACCAGTGACCTTTTACATTTAAAAAAAAAAACCAAATAAATGGTCTAATATAAAAATTGGACAAATAAAACAAGTGGTCTATTAATCTCTTGCAAAAATAGCCTGTTACAAACACTAAAAACAACAGTAAAAATAATGATTTGTTGTTATAAAAACAGTAAAAAAAATGACATATTACAAAAATACGAAAAGAAAAAAAAATTATTCGAGTTGTCGGGCCAGCATAGGGTAAGGCTTAGGCAATAAAAATATAAGTTCATTTTAACCTTGGCCTAATTAAGCCTGACCCGTTTGAGCCGTTACTTGGGCCAGGCCGGGCCGCTCGTTTTGACAGCTCTAGAGTTATTTACTCGATCGTAGACATTTCTGGAACACCTCTAACAAAGGGACAAATAGTCAATTTTGAAAGAACTTATTATCAATCTCTTTCAGATATGAATCTACCTGATTCAGAAGAGAAGAACTTGCATTAGTATCTCAATTTCAATTCAAACATGAGTTTGATTTACACTCCATGTTCTGAGAAATATTTACCATCCGAAAGGAGGAAAAAACAGAGTCCTTGTCCAAAAAAATGCCTTGAGAAAGGGTAGATGTACAGAACCTTTTAACGAGATAGTGCTTTTTCAACTCTTTCAAAATGGAATCTATTCCAAACATATACATGGTTCCTTACCTCGAAAAGTAAATGCATTTTGTTGGTATAAGTAGTCCTAATCAATTCCTTTAAGCAATTCTCAATTGTATACACAATCTCTAGATCCCTCTCATTTCAAGGTAAGTTTGATTCATTTATGTGTCTCTTACTGCCGGAAGCCTGCCAAGAGTTGCTCCTTATCCGTGCTACGATGAACTAGTGACACACCTAGGGTCTGGATGTCACATGCCCACCAACTTCCACTTGGTTCATCCTCAAATCACACTATACTAGGAGAGAGGCCTATTCTGATATCATTATTGTAACAACCTGACAACTTATTCGAGAATGATGAAGACTTTTCAGCGTACTTTGTCCTTACTCACACACTTCTCGAGAACTTTCCAAAAGATCACCCATCTCATAATTTTCTCAAGTTAAACATGCTTAACTTTGGAGTTTTTAAGTGATAGATCACCGAAAAGTAAATGTATTTTGTTGATATAGGTAATCCTAATCAATTCCTTTAAGCAATCCAACTATATACACAGTCTCTAGATCCCTTTCATTCTTGTGTAAGTTCAATTCATTCATGTGTCCCTTACCGCTGGAAGCCTGCTAAGAGCCGCTCCTTGTCCGTGCTACAATGCACTGACAATCACTCCCCACCCTCACATCTAGGGTCTGGATGTCACAAATAGTAATTATTATGAATTTGTTTTAAATTTATTAACTATGTTAATTGCTAATAATGGGTTAATGTTAATATTTTTGTTAATTATATTACTATAATGAATTTTGATTTTATAAGAAATATTATTTCATAAATATTTTTTAGGAGTTATCTAATATAGAGTCTATTTTAGTAATGGTTTTTTTTTATATTATTTATAATAGGTATTGAAATTGTTACACTCTCATTACTTGTCAATAATGCCTCTAAGGATAAAAATTATGAAAATTTTACTGCATGCTAACTTTGATCGAATTTCTCAACTTTGTCAAATGCAAATAAACAGTTCACTTATAAATGCATAATTTATAAGTGACTGTTGGAGGCTTGGAACACACGCATTTCACCTAGTTTGTGGAGAATGTACAATTACATTAGAAGATGTTTATATGTTACTTAAACTTAAGATCAATGGTGTAGCAGTGATTGGTTTTATAATTCCCTTTATTGTAGTAGTACAGGACATGTGTGAAAGTTTAATAGGAGGCCAACTT